GAAGACGACCTCTGTTGAACCACAAACAGAAGAAGAAGTTGAACATCTGAGCGGATGTGCTGAATGGACAGTTTATAAACAGGCCGTTGATGAGCTTCAGTCCTCTGGACCGGTTCATCGAGGTGAGTCCACATCCAGAAACGTAAAGTTATCTTATCTCACTATTACTGTTACTACTGTTATTCTTACTTTTCTTCTTCTTCTCACTATTCTTATCCTAATCATGACTACAATCCCTGGCTTTAAACTCTTTATAGTCCTGATTATGAAGTGAATAGAATAGAAATATACTTTATTCATCCCCAAGGGGAAATGCATCTGTGGCAGCAGCAATCAGGGTTACACAATAAAATAAAAATATTAAGTATGGAAAATGCACACTATATACAATATAATAAAATAACAGAGCAGGACCTATTAAATGTAAGAAAATAGAGTAATCAAAATGCACAGTATATACACTAAATAGAATCGTATTAAATTAACTAAGTAGGAAAAAATAAACAAAACAGTGGTGCACAAGATCACCAACAGCAGCAGCAACAGTGTAGCAGTGTTACAGTCTAGTGTTTGATCTGTTCAGAGGTGATTTATTATAGAGTCTAATAGCAGAGGGCAGGAATGTTCTCCTGTATCGGTCCTTGTGACAGCGGAGCTGAATCAGTCTGTTGGAGAAAGTGCTCCACTGTCCCTGCAGGAGATGGTGGAGAGGGTGGTCCGGGTTATCCAATATGGATAATAGTGTCTTCAGTGTCCTCTTCTCCACCACCTCTTCCAGATTGTCTTGTTTACAGCCAATGATGGAGCCGGCCTTCTTAACCAGTTTGTTAAGTCTGTTGGTGTCTCCGGCTCCAATGCTGCTCCCCCAGCAGACTACAGAAGTACAGTGCACTGGCCACAACAGACTGGTAGAACATCTCCAACATCTTGCTGCACACGTTGAAGGATCAAAGTTTCCTCAAGAAGAAGAGTCGACTCATCCCCTTCTTGTACACAGCGTTGATGTTGGTCTTCCAGTTCAGTCTGTTGTCGATGGAGACACCCAGGAACTTGTCCTCCTCCACCATGTCCACATCCTCTCCCTGAACTCTCAGCGGTTGTGGAGCCGTCGTCTTCCTCCTGAAGTCGACCACCATCTCTCTGGTCTTGGCCACGTTCAGAAGCAGGTGATTTCTACCGGCCCACTCTACAAAGTCCTCCACTACTGCCCTGTACTCCTCCTCCCGTCCGTCCCTTATACACCCGACCACTGCAGAGTCATCAGAGAACTTCTGCAGATGGCATGACCCTGAGTTGTACTGGAAGTCAGTGGTGTACAAGGTGAACAGGAAGGGAGACAGAACAGTTCCCTGTGGGGCTCCAGTATCACTGACCACCGTATCAGACAGCACACGGCCCAGTCGGACAAACTGTGGTCTGCCTGTGAGGTAGTCAGTGATCCAGGAGACGGTGGATGTATTAACCCCCACCACCCGCAGCTTCTCACTGAGCAGCACTGGTTGGATGGTGTTGAATGCACTGGAGAAATCAAAGGAAGTGATTCTCACAGAGCCACCGGTTCCGTCCAGGTGCGACTGAGCTCGTTGCAGCAGGTAGATGATGGCGTCGTCCACCCCCACACAGGGCTGGTATGCAAATTGCAGAGGGTCCAGTGAGGATTTCACCTGCGGACAGAGGTGGGCAAGACCAGCCTCTCCAGCACCTTCATCACATGAGACGTGAGGGCAACTGGTCGGTAGTCATTGAGGCCAGACGGTGTCGTCTTCTTTGGTACAGGAACCAGGCACGACGTCTTCCACAGCACCGGGACTTCCTCCTGCTTCAGGCTCAGGCTGAAGAGGTGTTGAAGGACATTAGACAGCTGGATGGCGCAGGTCTTCAGGACCCTGAATGTATCATAAAGGTCTATATTAATAAATCATCAGCACGACTCACGGCCGCCCGTTGAATCTTACTTTCTCTTTCTCACCGTTGATGACTTTGACAACCTGGGGTTCCTTTAGGATATCAGCTGAATGTGGCTCATAGAAGCTAACGTGCTAACATGCTAACGTGCTAACATTCTACACATAGATGTAGAGTTAATCATCACTCAATGATTTCAATACTCTCATCTTTCTCATGAGTAGACTGAACTGAAAGCTCCAGAAGAAGAAAAGGACCCTTTAGTACAAACTCTGACTGTCTCACTGTCTTCATCTTCAGAGGACAGACAGACAGACAGAGGGACATCATCGCCATGAAGACAGACTACCAGCTAGAGAACGAGATAGACGACAGCACCATCTGGTTCAAAGGCATGTCTCTGTCTGTCTGACTCTAACCCTCTGTAAAACACCATCATCAACTGTTGTGATGAACTGTCTGTCTACCAGACGGTCCTCCTGTCTATTTCTCAGGAGTCTCCAGGTTCAGACGCTGGTTGTTTCCTGGTCTGACGGCGACAATCATCCTGATTGTGATCATAGCACTGGGAGCTAGCAGTGAGCACGCACACACGCACACACACACACACACACACACACACACATATTTAAAATACAAGTTTACAGACAGATACTAACTCCTGTCTGTCTCTCAGGCTCAGCAGCAGACAGGTGTTGTCCTCCTGGTTGGGATCAGATTGGCTTCAACTGTTTCTTCTTCAGCTTTGAGTCTCTTTCCTGGAACGAGTCCAGAATCTGGTGTGAAGACCACGAAGCTCACCTGGTCATCATCCACAAGGACCAGACGTGGGTAAGACTCTCTCTCTCTCTCTCTCTCTCTCTCTCTCTCTCTCTCTCTCTCTCTCTCTCTCTCTATTAATGCTCATGAAACACGGCCCGATGTCTTTGTAAACCTCCTGGATGTAAACGATGTGTTCAACCTTATATCATTGTTTCAACAAAGTTTGTGGCTACGAGACTATTGTCCTTTATGTTTGGTTTTATAAAATGACACTTCAACTCCTTTCAATGCTTTTTGCATTTCTAGTCCAACTAACATTTTATTTACATCCAGTGCTCATTCTTTAACGGCCACTTCACATGCTTTTAGTTCTCACACTCCAACTACCACTTCATCGTTTTTTGACTACCTACATTTCAATTGCCACTTCCCACCCATTCCGTACACTTCATCTGTGAAACCTTCAGCCCTGTTTGAGTTTAACTGCCACTTCAGCATCCTCCAGTGTTTCAGTTTTAACTGCCACTTCAACATCCTCCAGTGTTCCAGTTTTAACTGCCACTTCAGCATCCTCCAGTGTTTCAGTTTTAACTGCCACTTCAGCATCCTCGAGTATTTCAGTTTTAACTGCCACTTCAACATCTTTTAGTAACTCAACCTCCGGTCCTACCTGAGTGCATTGAAGTGCTTCACCACAATTAAGCTTTTTTTTCCAAAGGCTTCAGCTGCAGTTGTAGCAGTGGAAGCGGGAACACTTCAGTTACCTTCAGTAGAAATGTGTGTTTCCACATCGTAGACCAACATGGCGACACTCGCTGTGTTTTCCAGTTCAAAGTGCAGTTTTTGGGGGTTGATGACCCCTCTGCTCGGTGTTTGGACAGATGGACTGTTGGACAGACTTCACCGGGACGGAGACGGACGACGGAGACTGAGACATGACGACCGAATACCATGACGACGTCGAAGACGACAACAGCTCCTTCTGGAACAAAGGTACCCGTCTGTCTCTCCACCTGTCTGACTGATTGTACTTATTGTAAAAAGGGAGAAAGTCACCTCCTGTCTCTCTACCCGTCTGTCTCTCAGAGCCGGCTCCCGTCTATTTCTCAGGAGTCTCCAGGTTCAGACGCTGGTTGTTTCCTGGTCTGACGGCGACAATCATCCTGATTCTGATCATAGCACTGGGAGCTAGCAGTGAGCGCACACACACACACACACACACACACACACACACACACACACACACACTTTATTGATCATCTGATTTTTCTTCTGTCATCATCAGATCAATATGTTTAGCTGGACTCTTGTGTTTATGGTTAATGTTGCTAACATTAGCTAATGTTATCATGCTAACACACTAAACTACCATGGTGAGTGTGGTCAACATGTTAGCATGCTAACAATAGCTAATTTTAGCATGCTAACACACTAAACTACCATGGTGAGTGTGGTCAACATGTTAGCATGCTGATGTTAGCATTTAGTTTTTAAAATCAAACTTCATTGATGGAGAGTAAACATTAATATATATATTTTAAAACTTTCCACACACAAACAGGACTACTTTGTGTCCCCGCCTTCAGACTCCAAGACGTCCAGCTGGTTGTGGTCTGTGGACAGACGTGTGTCCAACCAGACAGAGTCCTTGAGCGCCGCCCAGCAGCTCAGCAAAGGTAACTACACCTGTCTCTGAGATCCTTAAATCTGATTGGTCCACAACGTCCTGTCCCTTTTTGTCTCAGATGCAGCGAAAGACGTCCAGCGCCTGAAGTTTGCTGTGGAGAGCAACAAGGACCAGCTGACCTCAGGTCTGTCTGAAGACCCCGAAAACACAACAATGAAGAACAATGAAGCTCCACTCAACAGCAAATGTTCTCAATGTGTGTGTGTGTGTGTTTAGTGGACGAGGCTTTGAAGCAGCTGTCAGCTCTGGACGACATCAGCAGGACGGTCGCTTCGCTCAAGTGTACCATCGAACGCATCGTCAACAACGGTACACACACGCACACGCACACACACACACCTACCTATCTTTACTGTGAACCTCGATCTAATCCTGGTCACCACTTTCTAAGTGTCTTTTCTTAAAATGTCCCACTGTTAATATGGTCCTTAGAAGGGCAGCTGTACAAGAGGACGCAGTCATGTAATTGTCTGTCTCCCCTCGTGTCCCTGTCTGTCTCCCCTCGTGTCCTCTCTTGTGTCTCTGTCTCCCCTCGTGTCCTCTCTTGTGTCTCTGTTTCCGTCCGTCTCCCATCGTGTCCTCTCTTGTGTCTCTGTTTCCGTCCGTCTCCCCTCGTGTCCTCTCTTGTGTCTCTGTCTCCGTCTGTCTCTTAGGTTCAGCATCTGAAGGCTGTTGTCCCCTGAATTGGGATATTTTTGGCTCCAGCTGTTATATGTTCAGCAAGACATCGTTGTCCTGGGACGCTGCGAGAGACTGGTGCAACGGACACGAATCCCACCTGGTCATACTCAACACCGACGAGGAGTGGGTGAGACAGCCTGTCTGTCTGTCTGTTAAAAAACCATGTAATCAGCAGAGGACCCGGAGTTGATCCCTGTGGGACACCTTTTAGCCACAGTTCTTATATATTCAGTATTTGTGACCGTCTCTCTGCCTGTCTGTCTCTCTGGTTCAGGACTTTGTCAGACAGCATGGCATGGGGGTCTTTTACTGGGTGGGTCTGACTGATGAGAGGACGGGGGAGTGGGAGTGGGTCAACCGGACGCCCTACGTCATGAACCGGAGGTGGGCTCTTTTCTCTTTGATTATTCTTCAAGCTTTAGTCAGACGGACGATGTCCGTACTGTGTTGAGAGACGAGATCTGGACAAGGCTACACAGTACGGTACCTGCCCTGGGTCCTGTACCTGGTCTAGTCACTGTACCTGGTCTAGGTCCTGTACCTGGTCTAAGTCCTGTACATGGTCTAGTCCCTGTACCTGGTCTAGTCACTGTACCTGGTCAAGGTCCTGTACCTGGTCTGGGTCCTGTACCTGGTCTGGGTCCTGTAC